TTCTGACAAACCTACCACTATTATGCATAAACAAGTGTTGCAAAAACGGACTAATCAATTAGCGGCCGAGCGACCCTCACAATTCTGCTGCACCATGTTATATGTTTGGTGTAACGTTTGATGAACAATTAAGTTGAATTTAGGGCTGTGGGTCGATGAACTATGTAACAATTAAGTTTTTTGTGCATTTTATTTGTTTCAGATTAATTTTACATGAGTTGGTATTATTTAAAACATTGCATATTCACAAATATGTGTGGTAGAAAAAGACCAAATTTTTGGTCTCCAGTTTTTGGTCTGCTGGAAAGTAGAAAAAAATAATCTCGAAACCACCCTAAAACTAGTTTTTGGACTCCAACTTATAGGTATGCTGAGATGCACTAAGGCTATTCTAGATCGATCCCGAGCACATCGTTGTAGTTGTGGAGCGATCGCCCGCAACTCCACCAATAAACTAGCTTGTATCATTGCTCCCAAGGTGCTTGCTCCACTCCCTCTTTCGCTTCTAAGGTCACCATGGTGGAGTTGGAGCGGGGGAAATGAAGCTCTAGATCAAGTTTGTAATCATTTCCGATGGCTGCTTGGGAGTGGCTATGTCACCAACCACGTTGCTTGGCTGCCGGCCGACTCCATCGTGCCACCGAACACGTTGGAGGAAGGGTGGTTTCTTCCACCTCGCGGCCAAGGACCCAAAAGGGAGGCAATGCATCTTCACATGGGGGCCACGACAAGGTGACATGGAGGCTTCGTCGTCCCAAGTGATGCCATCCCCGGTGACGACAAGATTGCATCCATGAAGAGGATGCTAGGGACCCGATCATGTTTTCCATCTCATCGTTGTTGGTCGTCCATGTGAAAGTCAAGCACTAGCTTGCTCTTTAGGTTTAGTTTTGGGTCCTCTTGTAATTGCGTGTGTACCACCACTTCAATATTATTTCAGCTTCAGGGGTCCTTCTGGACCCTCTCTGGCTCTCCCGTTCGAAAGAAAACAGAAAACACCATCCATGTGCTGTCAAATGAGCACCAGGTTAAAAAAACTGTTTCTGGATATATCATGGGCAAATCCTAAATGGCCCCCTCTGCGCTTGTTATAGGTGTTCGTGTAATCGGGCGCACACCCACCTCCGAGCTGGGCCGACACGTTTTAGCTTCTTTTTTTCATCTGTAAAAAAAGAAGAAACACGCGCAGAGACTCAAACATGGGATCTCCTTATACTCGATATAACGCATTAATCACCCGCCCGCTATGCGAGTTGTGCTCAGTTCTCCCTTTCCTCTTTTTCTTTTGTCTTTCCTTTCTCTTTTTCTTTTTTCCCTTTTTCATTTTCCTTTTCCTTTTATTATTTTTTTATTTTTTTTTCTTTCTTAAAATCGTGAACTTTTTCCAAAATCGATGAACTTTTTTCAAGGCAATGAACTTTTTCTCCAAAATTGATGAACCTTTTTCAAACTCGATGATTTTTTTTTCAAAATCGATAAACTTTTTTCAAAATGAATGAAAATTATGAACTTTTTTTAAAATTTATGAACATTTTTTAATTTCATGAAATTTTGTTAAAATTTGATGAAACTTTTTTTCAAATCAATGAACTATTTTTCAAAATCAATGAACTTTTTGAAAATTAATGAACTTTTTGTTGAAAATCAATGAACTTTTTCCAAATTTGATGAACTTATTTTCAAATTTGTGTACTTGTTTCGAATTTCATGAACTTCTTTTCAAATTCGTGAAGTTTTCTAATTTGTACGAACTTTTTCGAATTTATGAACTTTCTTTTAAGTTCACGTTTTTCAAATGAGCAAACTTTTTTGGAATCGCTACACTGATATCGCTGAATTAACTGATATCGCTACGGTTCCTCGCGCCCTGCTAGGTCTGCTACTGTGCTGAGCAGATGGGCCGGCCCAATCGGAGCCAGGAAGGAAAACTGGCGCAACAGGCGCCAATTAGGAGCTCCCTATATCATGGGCCTATCAGCTTCATTTGGGCTGTATCAGTGCCGGCCTGCTTCGATTACTTATAACTATAAAAAAGATGAAGGAAATGTCATTTTTTCTTGACGCCCCCAAAACCCTAGCCGCTTCTTCTCTCTGCCCACTCCCCGCGCGAGCCACAGACGGCCGCCGCCTCACACCGCTGAGACCTCCTCCTCCCCAGTCAAGCGCGAGAGTATACCCCAGAATAACACCACCATGGCCGGCGGCAAGATCCAGAAGAAGCGACACGGCGGAGGTGGCGGCGGCGGCGGCGCGCGGCTGCAGGGCGGGATCCCGTTCGAGAAGTCCAAGGGCCAGCACATCCTGCGGAACCCGGCGCTGGTGGACTCCATCATCGCCAAGGCCGGCCTCAAGCCGACCGACACCGTCCTCGAGATCGGGCCCGGAACGGGAAATCTCACCAAGCGGCTGCTCGAGGCCGGCGTCAAGGCCGTTGTCGCCGTCGAGCTCGACCCGCGGATGGTTCTCGAGCTGAGCCGCCGGTTCCAGGGGCACCCCCTCTCCTCACGCCTCAAGGTACAAGGGCTCTCCTTTGTGGCTCCTATTCTTCTCATATTTGTGGAAAAATTGTTTTTCGCAGACAATTCAGTGATTTGTGCTATGCTGCTGTATCTGTTTCTACTGTACTTGCTCTGCAATAGACTGCTCAGAGATTGTTTTTGGCGGTAAACGGGGAATTCGGTGTTGTATGATGTTGG